GATTTAAACTCTCCACTACAAATGAGTCACTGTCGCAATGTTTGTTCATCCTGACCTCAAATTTAGCCCCCCCGACCAACCCGCCCTCAGGGTGTTCGGAGAGCAAGTGCGAGTTTTGCACCTTTGGAGTTATTTTGGTCTCACCTTTCGTGACAGCCTGCGTTTTATTTCCCTCTTCTCCTCCAGTTCCTCCTGCTCGTTACGAGCTGTAAAGAAAACAAGCAGATTAAAAAGGGATACTGTGAGAACAGGCACGTGCGGGATTTTTTTTCCTTTCCCCCACTGGAATGTTTAGAAACCGTGGAAAGCGTATAAACGCTATTTGCATAATGTGGCTCATTAGATTTACACTAAACTGGAGAGCTTTTTACAGCTTAAAATAGTTTCCATGATTGGCGGTTTAATGCGTTTTCTGTTCGTTATGAGGGGAGAACGACTACTTTTGTTTCTTGCAAGTTCTCCCGGGCCACTTATGTTCATGTTTCTAATTAGGTGATTCACCTAAATTGACCAAAATAAATTATTTTCTTTATGTAGGGGATAAAAAGTCATCTTATATTTGTGATAAACTGATTTCAATCGCATTACAGGGATAAATGTATCAAACGCAAAAGAGCAAGTTAAGAAAAAGGTCAACAGAATCGATACTGGGTCACYGATTGTGTTTGCAAAACTTATTCAGTCAAACTGTATTTTCTGAATAAGTATGGATTCCTCCTACTACAATTTGTATTCTAGATGTCTCCTTACTAAAAGCTCAAGTTGTATTTGCTTCACCGTGATATTGTATGCACATGGGTGATAGACTYATCACTCATTTGCACTTTCCTCCTGTGCTCCTCCTATCATGCAGGAGCCTCTGGGAAAGCAGGAACTGCTGCTAAGTCAGTCTTTGATGTGCGAGCTGCAGCGTCTCAGGCATCAGAGCTGCTYCTCTCTGATACTGCGTATGTTTGTGCAAAGAATCAAGTCTCTCCGGACAGAAAGACTCTGGGAGCCCCTGCTGCCTCCCTGTTTTCACAGGACCAAGGAGGAATACATGTTTTTAAAAAATGGATGCTATTCTCGTGACGACATGTCTGAAATGACTGCGTTGAATGACAAAAAGCACGCATAGCTTGAGTGCGACATCAAAAAGTCTGTTTTTATAAATGGCAATGTTTCATATTTGACTTTCACGGCTTCAAGAAGATGTTAAATTCACGAGTTAAAGAGACTTACGTTTGAGGATGTTCCTTTGTTCTAGTTCCTCAGCTGTGGGTCTTTGACTCAAGCGTCTGTTGAGAAAAATGCATCCACCATCAGCAACAGGTTAAAGGAAAGAGGTCAGTAACGCGCCATTAAAGCAACATAGGAAAGAAAATGTCTCTCTCGTGTAACAATGGCCATGTATTCATTAGCTGGTGAAAAAATAATCCTATCAAAAAACCCCATGTAACATGGGATAGAAGGAATAATTATTCAGTATAGTTTGAAAACTTCAGTGATGTTACCAAAAAAATGACTAGGACCAATTATTGCAACATTTTTCAGGAGCTTTTGCACAACACAGCAAAAAAAATAAATAAATAAAAAAAATCAAAAGATAAAAAAACAGTGAACTGCAGGTTTCATGCTTGTGGGGAGTTGACCCCAGTCATTATAGCCTTTCCACCAAATAAAAATCACATAATTTGCACTAACACAATAAAAATGAACTGGTTAAGTACACAGCTGCAACTCTCTTGTTGTCTTTAGGCAACTTTCACCCCTTTAATATATTATTTTGTAAACTGAAATTATTTCATTGATTATAATATATATTTTTAGTTATGTATAAAGCACACTGAAATGCATTACCTTTAAATGTTCAGATAAATTTTACAAAGAGAGAAAGCTGTTATAATCTTAAGGGAATAGAGATGTTCATGAAACCTAAATTTCGAACATGTTTGAAAGAACGATGCACCTCAATCCAAGGAGTGAGACTGAGGAATAATTTAGAAGATAATGTTAAAAGTGCCACATCAATACGCATATTTAAGAGAATGATAAAGACTGGACTGTTAAAAAATATGAAATGGCTTAATATGAAGACATTCACTTTGTTGTTCTAGAAATTTTCAACGTTTTGTTGTGTTTTGTTTTGTTAACTGAAAATCCTTATAGTTTTAATCTACATTTGAGAAAAAAGGGGCAGATATAAGATTTTTTCTGCTCTCTGCCACCTTTCATTTCATTTTATTTGTATTTGTATTTTCATTCTTATTGTACATAGAATTTTGTTTTATGAAAAGAATAAAGTTTATAACTATAAAAAAACTTTGACCTACGATGTCATGTAAGTTTAAGTATAATTGCTGAAAATGACATACAGGGTTTCAGTCTTCATAAACGAATAAATAAATAAACAAATAATTAGGCATAAATCTCACCCCGACCACCCACCCCCACCCAATGGTAGACGTAAACTTACGTCCTTAGCAGGCAGGTTTACAGAAAATTTGAAAAATGCCATGTCCGCAAGTGGTTAGACTAGAGAACGTCTAAAACCACAGACAAGAGGTTTTGATAATTGAGTCTAAGGATCTTACAATGCACACGTCAAACATTTGATCTGATGGGKTGCAACATAAGAGCATGTCCTGTCCCACGTCTGTCTGCAAAGAGCAGACAGCTGAGGCTGCAGTGACCACAGCCTCACCTACAATAAACAGCCAAACTCTCAAAAATCTGATCAAATTCATTTTCTGTCGATTGAAGTCAAGTGCTAGCGGGAATTTGATGGTGACAGCATCATTTTACAAGCCCAGCTTATTTTTTGCCAAGATGCTGGTGAAACGGTGCAGAGAATTTTTTTGGCAGATACAGTATGCTTCAAGCTAATTGCATATTTTTTGCTGAACATTAGCATTTTTGCATGGGCAGACATAAATTCACCAGTCGTCTCAGGGTTATTTCCAGTAAAATGAGGATCTTGTAGGTCTTTTTCGGTAAAAACATCTCCTGAGCGACTTCATGTAGCAAATAAATACAAATGCATCCTTTTAGAATGCAAACATTGTTATGTGGCTTAAAAATACGACTTAACAAAAAATTAAATCATAAAATTATGATCGAYAACAGAAAAATCTGTGGAAGTGTTACTTTTTTTTTAATGGGAGATAAATCACAGGCAAGTCGTTTAATCAACATTAGCGTGTTATTTAAAAAAATAATAAAATTKGCAAGTGAATTTTAACACAAGCTTGTTATCCATTTTATTTTTCTTCCATATATTWTCCAAGCATGAACCTTCGTGTTTGACAGAAACCCCCAAGAAATTTATCTTGACATTTTTTTGCTCATGGAACACGAGCGCTTACATCAGACGACACTGGGGTTCGCAGTAAAACACTGACGCAGTCTGCAGTCCCAAGCTGAATTAAATATAAGTAACGTCAATTCAGTCCCCCCTACACACAATAAAATGTATTACTATGGAATAGAGTTCTTTTATGCTTCATGACATCTTGACAGGTGCACTTCCCATAAGCGTCACTCAAACGGGGATCATAAATCATGAACTGAATCAATGTCCCCATTTTCATCCAGCAATTCATTGCAGTAATTAAAAGTGCGCAAAAAACAAGGAAAATCCAGATACGACTCTCCCGTGATGTTGCACAAATCTGATTATGACACTTTGAAAGGGCTAACTGAAAGGTTTCATCGCCGATCTAATAAACATTTAGGCAAACAAAGATATGGAAAAGGACAGCGAGTTCCTATGAAACGTCTGAGAGGATGCAGCCAACAAATAATCTAATTGTTTTTTGAAGCAGTTAACACACAAATAAAAGGAGAATAAATACAACCGTGAAAGATTAATTGAAATGCTTGCAGCTGACGACAYAATAGTCTCATTGTTAAATTTGATCACAGAATTCAGTTCAAATCCATCCTGTTATCTGCTCAAAAATGACCTTTTGTCCTTTTATGTCATCCTTTATCTATAAATATATGGAGCGYTATACTTTGAGAAGTCTTCTTCAACAGTCTACCCTCACAAAAAAATAATTAAATAAAATAAAATCCCTACTTGAATCCAATTTTGCTCTGCTTCACCTTAAAATTCAGCCTCCGCTCACAGATTCACTGTTCTGCATGCAAATGTTTCACTCTCAGGTTTGAGCCCCCTTTTTCCTCACTCTAATGGTTCACCTATGCACAGAGAAAACCCTTCTCTCTGCTTGCACCTCTATGAAACAACTCTGACAGATAGCCTACTGCTGTCACAGCATCCACACCCCAACCAAGCAAATGTTTTAACTGAATGATGAATTTAATGAAGTGGCTTCCGAGGAGGACACCAAAAATGTTGCCAAAGCATCAGCTGACACTTGTCTTCTGACTGACGTTATAGAAAAACATCTTTTCATCTGGTGTTTCAAGTATTTTCTTTTATTTTGAAAGGTAAAMATTTTTTTTCCTTAAGGGAAAGCTTCAGTTTTCTTCAGCGTGTTATAATCMCAATTTCTTTTTACTTTACAAGATACAATGGCGCAAGAAAAACCAAATAAAAATGGATTATATGCATTTAATGACCCTTTGTAAAGGACGCTGTCGCCAAGCTTTTTTTGGAAAGGCCTTCTGGGAACATGTTCTGTGTTCCAGTCACAGTGGGGAATATTGGTTTGTGAGCCAATGTGTGTGTGTGTGTGTTTCTATCATACCACATCCTTTCAAACCACATCTCATATCTTACTGTCCAACTCTGGCTTTCGTTTCCCCACATATTCAAGGCAAAGTGAAACGCTYGCAGCGATGTGCCGAGAAGAAAAGACAGCTGCCAAACAGACAGCTGGGGGGGTTGGGGTGTTAATATATTTATTTATTTTTGTTTGATCTTATTATATAAAAACTCAAGTATGACCTCAACATGCGAACACAAATTAGTCCTGAATTGCACACAGCAGCAGCGTGGTTTGTGAACGTGAAAACCGCCGCGATGAAAACGCTGCTGGGTGAGTCGGGCGGAGATRGCTTGCCACATGCATCGCTGTGGTGATTCAGTGAGCGACGGAGGGAGGGGCGGAAGAAAGAGGAGCGAGATAGTGAGAGAACGCTAGAGAGGATACAAGAGAAGGGAGGGAGGGAGGAAGGGAGGGAGGGTGCATCACTGAAATTAGGTCAGCTCCATTTTCACAGACTCTTTAACGAGATAAAGCTTTTTGTGCTTATCAGAAGCTCAAAAGGAAACGGGAAAGAAAGGAGACTGAAGAAATTTTAAAAGAGAAACATCCATTGTGGAGCTAGTGACCATTCTTTATCAGGCCAACATAAAGCAAGAGGCTCAGTTCGGTTTCCCCATTTACTGCTTTTATTTTTTTATTTTTTACTGATTATAGCAGCATCAATCATGTTCGCCGAAAACACTCAGGAAATGCAAACGCGTTCGGGTTGCGCACGTCTCACCTTGTGAGTTTGGTGCCTATCTGCTGCCTSGACTCTAGCCTCTCCTCGTCCGTCTGCATGGGCAGGATGTTTTTTTCCTCCAGCTCTCGCTTGGACGGACGGTTACTCAGCTTGATGGCCAGAGAGTCTTTTCGTAGCACCTTCTTCGCCAACGTACCTGAAGACAGAAACAGGGTTGTCAAAACATCTGAGGAGCTTTCAAAAGCCTGAAATGACAGATGTGCTCTGACTGATTAAAAGGAACAACGTTGGTGGGAACACAAAATGTTAGAAATTCWACGTTTTGTGGATTTGGAGAAGACATTCAACTGTGTTCCTCCTGGTACACTGTGGGGGGTGCTTCATCAGTATAATGGGCTCGACACACGGGGAGCGACAAACTGCAGCGATTAACGGCTGTCATCGCAGCCAGGGTGAAACCAGACACACGGGAAGCGATAGCAGCGGTGCGAGTCGCGCTCTCGGGTTGCTTGTCTTCACAAAATTTGATTGGTTCTTGACTACTGCTCTTGTAAAGGTTATTGGTGGTTTGCAAAAAAGCGGGGTGTGCATTACGGATGTGTATACTAAACAAATCTTGCGATGCTAATGATATTGTAAAACAAATGCACACCAAGATACAATTTTATGAGGAGAAACTTACCATAAATTCACCCTGTTGCCAACAAATTTCCAGTGTTAGAAAGTGTTAGCTAACTGCAGTATGTAGCATACTCTCCACTCATTGGTCAGTCAATGAAACCCTCGCTGACTGGTTGTACGCTAAGCGACAGCGACAAAAGTTGAACATTTTTCAACTTTCATATGTTGCGTCGCAAGCTCACGTGCACTATTTTTGCCGGTCTCTTGGCTGGAGGAGGGCGAGCGATTGTCGCCTCACCGCACAGGCTCCATAGGAAATGAATGGAGAGAGAGCGACGTCGCCTCCCATGTGTCGAGCCCTTAAGACTGTGGATTTGTTGTTACAGGCCTTTCAGTCCTCATACAAGTGGTGTAAGAGTTTGCATTGCAGGCAGTAAGTTGGACCCCTTCAGGGTGGGGAGTTGAACTACACCAGGGCTGCCCGATTTGTCCGGTTCAGTGGACTCAGGATGCCAGCTCTGTTATTTGCAGATGACGTGGTCCTGTTGGCCTCAATGTACCSTGATCTTCAGTTCTCACTAAGGTTATAATAGTTTTGATTTTTCATTATAGTTTAGTTTTATTTCGTTTGGACTTTTTTTCCTGTGAATTCAGTTAGTTTTTATTAGTTTTTAGTGTGGATTTGCTAGTTTTTATTAGTTTTTATTGTTTGTTTAATGCTTAGTTTTAGTTTAGTTTAGTTTTTATTAGTTCTACTATTCTTATAGTTTGAAAAAAATGTATTTGCCAATGCATCCTCCTGCTTGTGGTGTTTCTGAGTTAAAGGGGCAATATTATGTGTGTAGGTGTGCTCCGTGATGAGGAAGCTCGGCTTAAAGACACGTCCCATGGGTGTTTCTGGTACCAAAAGGCATTTCTGGTCCCCATCTGTCGTTTTGCTCCTCAGCATGGCTTCCTAAAAACACTGCAGGATTTCTCAAACATGCATGAATGAGTCAAATCAAGGCTTTGGGCATGTTTTTATGAGAGTATAACATTATAACATGATATAAAACCCAAAAAAGTTGATTTTACATGATATTGCCCCTTTAAGTAACCAGCAGCCAAGATTCATGAATTTACAGTTACGCACGAATGAGCAGCATTCGGCAATTTTGTTGAAATTTGGGTCACTTTTCGGGGGTGGTTCACTTTCCAAGTCAACGAAAGTAATCTGATGTAATCCCCCTCCCCATCTCAACTATGTGTTGAGATGGGGAAGGGGACATGTGGAAGGCATTGGACAGTGAAGAAAGTGAAACATGTTTTGAAAATGTCCTGAATGCACAGTAGGAATAAAATTTCTAAGAAAAAGATACGAGTCCGTGTTAATTTTGATGTATATCAGAGTGAGCCACCTCCAAAAAGTGACCCAAATTTCAACACAATGCTGCTCAGTTGTGCGTAACTGGAAATTCATGAATGAAGTATCATCAGAAAGCATTTGTTGTCGTGAAACTATGCTTTCTGCAGTAATATGTATAGTTTTGCCACAGTGACAATGTTAAGTTGGCTTTCCTTTTTTTTGATACATCCTGTATACAGTTGGTCGAAATGAGTTTTCTCTGCACAGTAGCTGGACKCTCCCTTAGAGATAGGGTGAGAAGTTCAGTTATCCGAGAGGAACCAGTTAAGGTGGTTCAGGCGTCTAGTAATGATGCCTCCTGGACACCTCCCTAGAGAGGTGCTTCAGGCATGTCCAACTGGGAGGAGATCCCGAGAAAGACCCAGGACACGCTAGAGAGACTWTGCCTCTTGTTTGGCCTTGGAATTTTCCTAGAAGAGCTGGAAGAAGTYGCTGGGAAAAGAGAGGTCTGAGCCTCCCTGATCAACCTGCTGCCCCCACAACCCAWCTCTGGAACAAGTAGTAGATAATGAATGGAACACAAATTATTACACCACCTCAGTAAATGTCAAAGCCATAAAAAAAGATTCTATGAATCTAAACTGTTCTCTTAGAGAGTTTTATTAAAAACTGTCTTGTTTTGATGATGATTTAAAGTCTTTTTAAAGGGGCAATATCATGTAAAATCAACTTTTTTGAGTTTTATATCATGTTATAATGTTATACTCTCATAAAAAACATGCCCAAAGCCTTGCTTTGACTCATTCATGCATGTTTGAGAAATGCTGCAGCGTTTTTAGGCAGCCATGCAATACGACAGGTGGGTTCCAGAAACGCCTCTGGGACGTGTCTTTAAACCGAGCTTCCTCATCACGAAGCACACCCCCCCACCCCACAC